CGGCCAGCAGAACCCACGCCATCTAAGGGGCAGCTTCGGGCCACTCTACTTGGGCCCGAGATCCTAGGTTTCCAGAAGAAGTAAGAAACTGGAATTAGTCTCTGAGAATATTTGAATGTTGGTTTGATTTAAAATAAAACACCATGGGAGCTGAACAAAAGCCATCTTGTGGGTCAAGGCCATGGACTGGCAGCTTCTGTTACAGCCCAACCCACTCATTTTGCAGATGGGCACACTGAGTCTCAGGGAGGGAAAGCATCTTGCCCAGTGTCACACTGAGATTCAGAGGCAGAGTGGGGACTCTGCTGCCTCCAGGCTCTTACCCACCTTCAACTGCTCAGGAGAGTGTGAGAAGGCGGAGGGAGTTGCGGGTCGCGCGCGTGTGTGTGCATGCGTGTTTTGGGAGTCCTGGGTGGGTAGGAATCCAGATTTCACAAGCCAAGAGCCCTGCTTTTTCTGTCCATCCAGGAAGGAAGGTGAACAAAGGAGCAGAGAAAGGGATAAACATTTGTTAATGCTATATAATAACTGTATAATAATATAATAACTGACACCAAGTGTTTTCTACGTGGTAGGTATTCAAACAGGGTATGAAGAGGGAGTTAGGTGGTAATTAAGAGTATAGACTCTGGATCTGAATCCTGTCTGTCTCACTTCCTAGCTGGGTAACCTTGGCAAATGACTTCACCTGTCCGTACCTCAGCTTGTTCATCTCAGAATTGTCAGGAGAATTGAACGAGTTAAGGTACATAAAGTGTCCAGAACACTGCCTGGTGCCTGCGAGGCTCTGTGGATATTAGCTGTATTTATATGATTGCCTTTAGACAGATGGGGAAACTGAGGCTCACAAAGAAATGTGCTCAAGATTCCAAAGAGCCTGTCTCACCCCAGGGCCTCACGTTTTGCCTGATACCAGGGTAAGCACTTGACCCTGTCCCCCCCTGTCCAGCAACCTGGTAGGTCCTACTTGCACCTCTATTCTGCAGATGAGAAAACTGATACGTGGGGAGGCAACTAATGAACCCAGACCATGGCCCTTAAGTAGAACAGCTGGATTCTAACACAGGCCCCAGCCCTCACACATGCCACCACTGAGCCCACCTTCTGGCCACCTGCCCACCTCTAGCCACAGCAGCCTGGGTCAACTGTCTGGATGATGCAAGACTGCACTTGGCAGACAGGCCAGCTGCCCACCATTTCCAAGCGACCACAGGGTAACTTGAGGCTCTGCCTCAGGCGCAGCCCCAGATGCTCCCCAGGGCACATGGCATGGCCCTCGGCAGTCCTTCCCTGCAATTTCTGGGGCTTGGCCCAGCTCTCAGGACTGCTCTGAATGAATCATTCCCATGAATCCTCCTCAGGCCGCAGCCCAGGGTAGAGGAGACCCGAGAGGGGGCATGGGAGGGGTCAGGCATCCCAGAACCTTCTCGGGAGTGGCCCCAGACAGGGTGGATGTGTGGCTGAACAGAGCAAGGGTCCTTGTAGGGGGTAGGAAGGGGCGGCAAGGGGGGAGGCCTGGAGCTGCTGCCCAGACGGTGCCAGACCACACCGGGCTTTCAAATCACCAATACGAGCCACTTCCGACTAACCTCTTGCTACAAACTGATCCACAAAGCTACAGAGCAGGGTACTTTGACAAGCTTACTGATCGCAAAAGGTCCTGCATCTGAGCTCTGACTCAGTCCCTGCCCATTGCCCTGCAGGGTACACTGAGGCACAGGGAGCGCAGTTCCTTTCCTAGCCTCAACCCTATTTCCACTTCCTAGACTGCTTTCTTAGCACACAGAATTTCAGAATTTTAAAAGGACAAGGAAGGGAAAGTATGCACAAATGAATAAAGGCAGGAGGGGCTAAATACAGCCACCAGACGGCCTGGTGTCAACGGCCCTCCAAACAGCAGCTGCCCAGGTGGACGAGGCTGGTTGCTGGGAGCCCAGAAAGCACAGCCCAAGGCTGGCCGAAGCCCCTGAACCAACAGACTACAGGTTTAACCCAGGAGGAGCTGATGACCTTCCAGAAACTTTGCTCTTCTATGAAAACACTGTGCTGTGACCTGGGCCCTTTCCGGGCAGTTTCACTTCACGTGAGGGAGGAGGTGTGTTCCAGGTGTGGGGGCAATGCCCAAGAGGAGAGAAGGGGATGTCTATGTGTCCAGAGTGTCACCCATGGATGTCAGGACCGCCGGTGTCAGGCCTGGGAATGGTGTCTCTTGTAACAGGCAGGGGCTTAGGTCCCTGCCATGGCCCACCTCACATGGCCACCAGGGGAGATCACCTTCCAAATGAGTGTGGGGCACAGGCAGGACCAGAAGCCCTTGCAGAGCAGAGGGACAGTCCTTCCTGTGAGCTGCAGTCCAGGAAACCTGCCAAGGTCCTCCCTGGCCTTGCAGACCCTCAGTTGTCAAGAGACCCCCACCCCGCTGGCCTGCGGTGGGAAGATCTGAGCAGTTTCCACCTTTCCTTCCTTCGTCCAATGCACAAAGTCCTCGTAGACACTGCTAGACCCTGGGCCAGGTCCGGGGTGGGCACTGTGAACCCCTGGCTTTCTGGTTGCCTCCCTGCCCCCAACTGGGCCTGGCGGTAAGCCCTCAGCACATTTGTCTTTCTTATAGGGGGAACACAGTGAACACATGCCTCGGCTAAGCACTCTCCAGGCTTGATCTGTTTCCCTGATGGTCCTGGGGATGTTGCTGGTGACAAACAGGACACTCCTTACTCTAATGAAGCACTTAATTCCATCTGTGTTAGAAAATAATTCATAGCTAGCACATCAAAGTCAGTGTTCTTGGAACCCTCACACACTGCTGGTGGGATTTGTAAAATGGCACAGCTACTTTGGAAAACTGCCTGGCAGTTCCTCCAAAGGTTAAACATGGAGTTACCATAAGAGCCAGCAATTCTCCTCCTGGGGATATATGCGAGAGAATTGAAAACCTATGCCCACGCAAAGACTTGTACACAAATGTTCATTGCAGCACTATTCATCATAGCCAAAGAATGGAAATAACCCAAACGTCCACCAGCTGATTAGTGGGTAAATAAAATGCGGTATATCCATACAATGGAATATTATTCAGCCATAAAAGCAATAAAATACAAAAAAAAATGTAATTAAGTACCACTACATGCTCCCACATAGATGTACCTTGGAAACATTCTAAGTAAAAAGTGCCGGTCACATGTGCATGATTCCATATATGAAAAATTCAGAATAGGCAAGTTCATAGAGATGGAAAGTAGTGGCTGCCAGAGGCTGGGGAAGGAGGGATTGAGTCCAGGGTTTCTTTTTGGGTGATGAAAATGTTATAGAAATAGATAGTGGAGATCGTTGCACAACTCTGTGAATATCCTAAAAACCACTGAATTGATTTACTTTAAAAGGGTGAATTATATGATACGTGAGTTATATCTCAATAAAGGTGCTACTAAAAAAATTACGTGAGATTTAAAAAAATAAGGTGATATAAATATATAAAGTAACTACATTTGGAATTCAGTAGGGTAACATGGTTCTTAAATGACACAACAAACCCAATTTTACAGCCATGGAAGCTGAGGTTGGGAGAGGAGGAATGACTTGCCCAGGCCACATCACCACTAAACCAGAGTGAGTCACAAACAGATTTGCCCAAATCCAGAAACTTGGCCTAATCATCAGGCTACCAGGCTCCATTAAAGGATGGGGTATAGGGAATGGATGTCCACAGCCAATGCCAGGAGGTAGACCGACAGAAGGTTAGTCCGTGAGGAAAAGGGCCAATCAAAACAGGGGCACCCAACAATGCCTGGGGAATGTCAGAAAAGGGTTCTAGGAGGGCATGCTGCCAGAGGCTACTGAAGTATGAGTAGGAGTTCACCAGCCCCTATCCCCAACATCTAAACAAGACACATGAAGTCAGGAGACCTGAGGGTGAATTTAAGCTCTGCCACATCCTGGCTGTGGGATCTAGTGCCACGGGTACTTGATCTTTCCGAGCCTCGGTTTCCCCATCTGTAAAGGGGAAGCTGGCAGGGTGACAGGCACAACATTCTAACAATTGCACTCAATCGGATGGTTCCCACCCTTCCTCCCGAGAGGGCGGACCTTTGGGTGTGAAAGGCAGACCTCGACCTCTGTCCCACATAACGACTTTGCCAGCTCAGGCATAACCATGCCCCCTTTCCTTGCCGCCACTCCCAGTCCCAGCTCACGCACCTCCCGTCCAGCTCACACTGAGAGCAGGAGGTTGCCTCGCGGGGGGAACCTCTGGCCAAAGGTCTACCCCTCCTCGCGGGTGACCCTGAAGTTCACCAAGGATCCCCTACCCCACGCTCTCGGAGTCCGCCTTCTCAGCCGGGGATTTTCGCCCCCCTCTCCATTGCCAACGCCTCCACTCTGGACATGCCTCGCAACTCCACGGAGAACGCAAGTTAACTTCCCAGCGCCCGCCTGGGGGTCCCCGCGCACCGGGAAGGAGTCGGGGACTCGGACGGCGCTGACATGCCGCCTACCCCCATCCCAACACAGACACAGAGGCTGAGCACCTCCCGGGCTCAGGATCCGAAGCGGGCAGAGCGGTCACGGGGCCAGGTCTCTGCCGCACCGAGAGGAGAGCGCTCGGAGCGCCGGGCGGGCGCGAACCCTCGAACCTCGCGCCCGCGCCGCCTCCCTCCCAGCGCCCAGCCCCGGAGCCCAGGCAGCCGCGCGGGGCCCGGAAAGAAGCCGCGCGCGCCGAGGGCTCCACAGCGCCCGAGGCAGACCCGCAGGCAGCCCCCTGCCGACGGCTGCAGCCTCGGCCCCCTAGCCACCCGCGGGCCACCTACCGTACCGAGGCGCGGCGAGGCCGCCCCGCGCGCCCAGCGACTCCCGGCTGGCCAGCCGCCCCGCCGGGGGAGGCGCAGGGGCCCGCGCGGGGGGCGGGGCCGCAGCGCCGTGACGCAACGGGGGCGGTCCGAGCGCCGGCCCGCCCACGGCCGCTCCCCGTCCCCTCCGGCCCGCCTCCAGATCGCGCGTTGGGGAGGGGCGGCCCTGGCGCTGACCCCGCCCCGGAAGCCCGGGTCCGCAGGCTCGCTAACCTCCGGGAGGGGCGCGCCGCGCTCTTCACCGCGGACAGCTCGGTGTAAGGTAGGTTCCCTGCTGTCTGTAAGCGGTGTAGTGGAACCATCGCCGAGAAGTGTTACGAGGGGAAATCTAGACCCTGAGCAAAGTGTATTTAAGCTAACGTGCGTGTAACACAGAACAGAGGGAGTGGCTCTACACACATATTCATCCCATCTCATCAGTGGTTCGAAGGGGGCGCTTTTGCCCTGTCCCCAACCCCTACCCGGAACATGTGACAATGTCTGAAGCCATTTTTGGTTGTCACAACTGGAGGACAGGGGGTGTCCTACTAGAATCTAGTGGGCAGAGAGCTGGGAATCTGCTAAATATTCTGCCATGCGCTGGACCCTGCCGTGCCCTCTGTACCCGCGACAGAACGAGCCAGTCCTAAAATGTCAGTTGTGCTGAGGTTGAGAAGTGCTGATATTCGTGAATAAAATAAAACTCCAGACTGGCCTCAGCTCAGTCTGCGATGTTTAACCGCTCTGCCTGTTTCTTCGTCTGTAAAATGGGGTTTATAATTGATGCCTTATATGCATATGCATCGAAGGAAGGGGAGGGAAGGGTGAAAGGTTACTTGCCGTCTTGAACCTTTATTTGTTCAATTTTTTTAACCATATGTATGTATTACCGATTTAAAATAAATTTCTGTAATAGTTCAATCATAAGAACAAGCATTATATACATATATATAAATTAATAAAATTACCTACTAAGTGCCAGGCATTGCCCTAAGCACTTTACCTATGTTTAAACATTTAAACCTTTTATAGCCTTACGGTAGGTCTATTATCATCCCCATCTTACAGATAAGGAAACCAAGACATACAGATATTAAGTAACATGTCTGTAGCTAGCTATGGGCTCATTCTTGACTCATTCATTCATTCATTCATATGTCTAATAAATAGTACCTGTCACGTAGAAAGTGCTCGGACTGATAGTATGAAGTCCCTTGTCTCTGTGAGGCTGTCTGTTTCTGGTCTGGTAATAATAGAACAATATATATAGTGTTTTTTGTGCACATATTAGAGGCTTTCTATGACTGCATAGTGACCCTGCTGGGTATCATGATGTCAAATTTGATCATAATATTGAAATGGAAGTCAAGGGAAGAGGTTTAAATGGTATTTGTTTAATAACATTCTAGCAACAGCATTTTGTGAGGACCCTTTGCTGGGTGCTGGGACTCACAGAGTAACAGGAGGACTAGGGTCCTATGTCCAAGGGGGAAGGCAGATACTTTAACAAGTATTCATAGTAAACTGGATGCCTGTAATTGGGTAGGAGGTAACAGGAGAGATTAGCCTGGTCCAGGGAGGGACGGCCAGGGGTGTTTACACTGTGTGCTTACACTGAAACCTGAAGCATGGGTGAAGGTATGCAGAAGAGCATGCCAGTCCCAGAGACCAGCAGGCACAATAGTCCAGCAGGAGGGACCATTGCCTTGGGGCCTTGTATGAAGTGCAGAGTGGACAGGGATTGGAGAGAAGGGGAGAGAACAGGTCAGAGGAGCCTGCAAGGGCTCGGTGCTGCTGGACTTCAATGGCCACAGGAAGGAATTGGGCCTTCGTCTTGCAGTGATGGAGAGACATGGAAGGTGTTCAGCAGGGGAAGGACATGGTTAGCTTTGCTTTCTACAGAGATCTGGCTGCTTTGTGGAGGAGGACAGGCAGGGAGACTGTTATGGAGGCTGTTGAAATACTCCAGGGGAGGTGGCCAACCCAGGGCAGGGTTGGGAGCATGGCATGTTTGGGTTGCAGAGATGTCTGGGAGACAGAATTGTCAGATTGCAGCTGCAGAGCTAAAGAAGGGGGCCAGAGTGATGTGGTTTCTCCCCCAGTCTCCCAGCTCAGCAAACCCCTTCAGGTCTCAAGCTGGCTGTCCTCACCTTTAGGAAGCCTAATGGCCTCCCCAGGATATCCTGATGGCACAGACACTGTCCATGCAGCCTGGGAATGGGATGGGACTTTGAAGGAAATTGAAAGAGGTTGTTCTCATCTGCTCCTCTAGTCTGTGAACAACCAGGGCAAAGATCTCTTCTGTCTTCTTTCCCAGCATCTATACAAAGCCTGGCACTCAGAGGCCCCCAGTCAACACGTGTCAAAAGCAGGAAGAATAAATGTGTTTGGGACAAACATTGATGCTAAGCCTCTTCCCAGTTCTGACACTCGAGAAGATGGTGCTGATGTTGATAAAGGTGCTTTCTGTGCTCTAAGCACCTTCTAAATATCGTTTTCAAGCTGATTGTTTACTCCTCCCGAAGACCTTCTGAGGTTCTATAATCATTATTCCCATTTTACAGATGAGGAAACAGGCTCCAACAGTTCATTTGACCTGACCAAGGGCAACAGCTAGTAAAGATCCAAGCTGAGGTGCAAACTCATTTCAGTGGTAGAAGGGGGTGGCTCAGCACTGGGCAGGAAGCTAGGAGAGAGGGGCAGGTTCCCTTGTCCCGTTGGAAGGATGTGGAGTTACCATTCCTGGCTGGGTACTGTAGGGACCAAGAGCAGGCAGCCCCAAGCTGTGCCTTGTGACCTGTAGATTGTTTCTGAGTTGACAACAAGCAAGGCTCAAAAGACTCAGAAAGAAACTTTGACCTCCATCCCCCAAACCCCCCAACCCCGCTTCCCCCCAGCACACCCCCCACAACTGCTTAGATAGAGGACGTGCTCCCAGAGGAGAGCTCTCATCTTAGACAGCTATATTATAATGTAAATTAGGGGTTGTAGGCAGGGAGGGCAGTGGCTCAGTCTACTAAAGGGCCTCTCTGTGCCCCACTGTTTCTGTGTGGCCCTGCAAACATTCGTTTACCACTTACTCTTTTCATATTTGCCACTTACTCTTTTCATATTCCCGTGAATTGCTTCCCTTTTCCTTTGAAGTCTCAGGCCCCTACCCACTTCTCCATGAGTCAAGATGACATATACACCTCATTCTCCCTGTCTTTGGAATCTATGTCTATACATTCCCTGTACAGATGTAATTAAACTTTTTTTTCTCTTGTTAATGGGTCTCCTGTCAATCTGACTCTTAGACCAGCTAGAAGAACCTTGAGATTTAGAGGAAAATTCTTCCTCCCCAGGAGTGCTTGACTTCACAAAGCCCTCTCATCTCCAGTATCTGATCCAGATTACTGGCTGTCATGGCAACATCATTCTAAAGAGATGGTCACCTCTCTAGAACCTCCTCAAGGCACCCTGGTCCCATGCGCTTTCCCCATATCTCAGTTGTTGCATGTCCATCAGCATCTGTTGTGGGCACAGAAAGGATCACACCTCTGGGGGGGTTCCTCTTGCCCCTTGCACACCCACTGCTGACTTTGTGTCCACACCCCCACACCCAAAAGACTGTGGTTTACCTCCTGTTGCTGTGGATGGGAAATGATGTTCCTTACCCAAGGCTCCTTGTCTTCCTAAAGGCCTGAGACTCAAAGATTCATGAGCTGGGATGTAGCGTTGAAAACCTGGACATGCCAGCTTGCCTAGGCATTGTGTCCTGAAGCCAGGGTTTAGGGCAAACCTCACACTGAGTCAAAGCCAGCAGCAAGAAGCCGCCCGGAAGACTGTGGGCACCATGGCTTCTTGGTCAAGTCCAGTTCCGCTGGTCACCTCCAGGCTCATTCTCACCATGAGTTCTGTTGAACACCTGATGAAGTTGAAACTCAAAGTTTCGGTACTGAGGCCAAAAATATGACTTGTCTTGAAGCTCTGAAATTCTGTTCCAGGTGTGGTGGGATGCTCACATTTTGAGAGGCAGGTTGGAACGAGGACCCACAGAAGGAACAACAGGTTTATAAGTCCATGTCACACACACTCCTGTACTTTTTGCATGCTCTTTGGTTTCTTTTTGTCGTTGTTATTTATTTTTGCTTGTAATTTTTATTTGTTCTGCTTTTTATTACAGCATGTTTTGTTTATTCATAACTTCATTAGCAAAAGCTAAGTAAATGTATTGATATACCAATACATTACATATAAAATAATGACTTTGCTCTTTTCTTCCTGGTTTTGTGGGTGTGTTTTGCCAAGCGTCTTTATCATGTTTCAGCAATTCGAATATACAATTCTTTTTCATATAATCCTTGTGAAAAAACAAGGTCATCAGCAACTTTGAGTTGAAAACGATCTGGAAGGTCTAGACAATCATGCAAAGAAGTTTTAGGACTCAGTTAACTGATGGGTTTCTCTTACATTTTTTCTTTTTATAGGAATCACAAGATCGGTACGCTGAAAAAAAAAAACCCTGTCATGCCTAAATAAAGCCAGTAGTTCTTTCAAGAAGTATGAAATAAAAATCCCAAGTGATCAGAAAGCAGTTGTGTTATATTTGAATGAATAGTATTTCTCTTCTCTCTCGGATCATCAAATCATGGTGCGTCTTGCCGTCGGTGAGGTTTTAGAGTTGAGGAAATATGAAAGGCAAGTTTGTGTGCCTCAGATGATTGTAGGGCTAGATTGCACTAACGAAGAATTTTAGAGCTGCACTCGTGGGCCTCAGGATGGGAATCTATGTAGCTTGACTTTGGAATCAGAGAATCATGGAAGCTTAGAGATCAATTACAGAATCTTGGAGAATCATAGAACTTTGAAACCATAGAATCCCAGGGTCAGAATCTTCAGGCTAGATGGAGATTTGAGCTGTCCTTTTACAGACAAAAGAATGAGTCTCAGGGAACAGAAGTGATCTGCTGATACTTTGTAGCATTTAACAGTAGAGCACCTGTATCCTGATTCCTGCCCCAGAATCCTTGTCTTCTAGTCCAAGACAGGACAACCCGTTTTCTAACACAAATACTAGTCAAATTGAGGGGGGTGAAGATAGAGAGATTTAGGATGAGATGGGAAAAGGGTGCATGCCCCAGAGGGTAAGAACCATCCACAGTGGTGTCTCAACTTTGAAGCTCGGCAAAACCACAGAGTAAAGTGTCATGAGGCCCACCTTTCTTTCCAACTTGATCTTCTGACACACTCAACATGCCCTTCCCACCCCCAACTTCTGCCCACACAACCACCAAGCTACTGCTCCCACATCAGTAAGCTTCACCTAGGCGCACCACCAGCTGCCTCAACCTCTGTGCCTTTCCCACAGTGCTCCAGGGCTGCCAAATACAGTTGTGCATGTTGGGCACAGCGCAAGGATGCCACATTCACACTGTAGACACCACAGGTTCACACCAATAATTTCTGGCAGATGACAAATGTCTGGAGGAAGAGGCATTTTTTATCATTTGCACAAAGGTGCCAAATGGGGTGGCAGGGACCCTGCTGCTTGCTCTGCCTAGAATGTCGTCTCCCCCATTCTCCACCAAACAAGCTCCTGCTCTATCCCTAAAGTCCCCTTTCATATATCCTCTCCTCCAGGAAGATATCCATGGCAACACCTCCCCAGCCTTCCTGCACGGATTAAAGGTTAATAACATCAGGCCATGTAACTGTTGATGTGGGAGTCAATACTGGGAGCAGATTCCCGAAAAGTAGAGCGTGTACCATTTGCAGTAGAAGAGATGATTCTAGGTGGAATTTGGACCCAGGATTAAATAATAATGCTCTTTTCGGATACAAGATAACAATGCTCTTTTCAATCTTATTTGATTAAATCAGGGACAAAAATCTTAGTTGGGTGCAGGCATGTCTTTCATACTTCTCAATAACACTTGCTAATCACTCATTTTGTCAAAAAGCAAGCAGGTTGCATGCTTAGAGACATCAACGGGCAATGGTGTCTGATAAGAATTCCACACTTGGCCATCTTTAAATTGTATTTATGTGATTGCTGTGTATCTATGGCATATGATACTGATTTTCTGCTTCCTGTAGTGTTATAAAGTTTTGCATTTGAGCACAAAATAGTAAGTCTGTTTAAATAACAATATTAAGTAAATAACAAAACAGGTGGTAGGCAGAGAGGGCAAAAAATCATGAGAGTGGAGCATGAAGGAGGAGAGTTTGAACACACAGATTTGTTTAAGAAGGCAGGTTCTGGAGCCAGACTGCCCAGGTTCAAATCTCAACTTGCTGTGTGACCTCAGCAAGTCACTTTCCCTCTCTGAGCCTCCATTTCCTCCCTCTGTTAAATGGGAGTAACTATAATACCAGCCTCCTAGAGTAGCCCAGAAGATTTGCTGAATGAATATGTGTGAAGAACTTCTCAGGGCTTGCTGTTTTTATTATTATTATAATTATTCAGACTGAGGACGTTACATGCCTGCTACAAAAGGGGACCTTGCACACGTCTGTTCACAGACCCAGGAGACACTTTGGCTTGAGAAACTTTTATTTGCATGGAGAAGACGGGATTGAGACTGAGGAAGGGGCGAGGAAGAAGAGCAGAGAGTGGACTCACTTGGGGGGCTCGGCAGCCAGGACGGGGAAGCAGCCCTCTGGGTGCCACTGCCTGTCACGCAGGCGGCGCACGGCCTGCATCTGCGGCTGGAAGGCCCCCCACTCGTTCCAGTGCCGGAAGTCGCCAGGCTCCAGGAGGTACTGGTACCCTCGGTAGCCAGGATACTGATAGCCGACCCAGCTGCGAGGGAAGCAAGAAGGTCTGTGTGGAGACAGCCAGCCCCCGTCGATCCAGGCAGTGTGCCCACCGTCCCTCACCTGCGGTGGCTTGGGTATCGGGCCCCTGGAGCTCCTGTGTCCTGGCTTTGCCCCTTTCTGGGACTTCCTACTGGTTTCGGCCAGTGACTTCATCTCTCTAACAGACCTCTGCATCCTAGATGTGGAGATGGTCACAGTGTCTGGTTTATTAAGGGGACAGGGGGAAAATCAACCTAAAGTGCTTACTAAGCATGTTGTGTGGGTGTCTGGCAGGGAGATTAACACGCATCCCACTGATCTTGGCAACAGGGAGCTCAGACTACAGGATCAAAGGGAAGGAAGGAGGATTCGCCTTGGGGGCTGGTGAGCAATGGTGCAGACGAGGAAGGGGAGTCTTGTTTCAAAATATGGTTTCCTTTGTGTGTAAGTGAATTTGCATGTAGTGGTTGGGAACATGCATTCTAACATAAGACATACCTGAGTTCAAATCCCAGCTCTGCCATTTACTAGCTGTGAGAATCTAGGTAGGTGACTTATCAGAACTCCAATTTGCTGGCTGTGAAATGGGGATGAAAGCACACCTACCTTACCTGTTCTAAAGATTTGGTAACTATTGGTTGAAAGTAGTTAGCACAGTACTTGGGACGATGTAAGCACTCATTAGAAATTATTATCAAGGATTCATTTGTAACTTCTGTCTCTGCCTCTTCTGGGAAGGTCTTCCCAGGTCTCTTTCGTACCCCCTGCCCATCTTTCAAAGTCTAGTTTAAGTTCTAGGCTCCTCAGACAAACCTCTGACCTGTGTCCACTCCTGCACATATACCCACGTCCCAGGAAGTTTCCTTTCTCCTCTGACCTCCTGTGTGTACCACCTCATAACTAGTTAATAGTTGGACATCATCTCACAGTATACTTGGGACTCCATGCTAGGCTAGTAAGCCTCCTGAAGGTGGGAATTGAGCCTTATTCATCTCTGCCTTCCCAGTGTGTCTAGCTGCCTAGCTCACAGGCAATGCTTAGTAAATGTCAGATGGATTGAATGCAGGGACATGAGTTTCAGGGATGAGGAGACGAGCAGGTAAAAGACCAGGGCCCTGAGGGTGTTACAGGAGCCTAGCGAGAGCATGGGTGAGACACAGAAGCCTTACATTCACCTAGAGGAGACCAGGGGTGTATGGCATGGCTGTCTAGAGGCCGGGGGTGGATGAAATGACCTCTCTTGGGCATCTAATCCCTCCCTGTACTCTCACAGACTGGGGTTACAGGGCTCTGTTTTGAAAGCCTCAAATCCTGAGAGTTCAGAGCAAAAGGGCCCTTTTAGATAAGGGAGTTGAGGCCCCCCCCCAATTCACAGTGTCACCTCTTTGGAGCTATTTCGCTCATTTCCCCAGAGGCTCTGAATTCACCTAAATATTCTCCTTCCCTAGACCCATGCAGACTCACCCACACATGTTCAACTCTGCCATCCTTACTGAATTATTTCTTCAACCCAATCTGGGGTTTAGAGGCACTATTCTCTCTGTCTTCCTGCTTTTTACAACCAACTGCCAGGTTTGTTTATACTGACATGTGATTCATCAAAGTATGACTCCTCTCCTCAAAGGAATAAAGGCCGCATCGGTGGGATCCCAGGCTCCAGCACTGGGAGAGTTTGGGAGAGGCTGCGGCCTTCCCTGCATGCCTGATGTCCTGTCTTGTAAGGGACACAGCCTCTGAGTCTGTCTGCGCTTGCAGGAGGGGCTGAGGGCCTGGCAGGAGACATGCTTACGTTCCACTGGAGACCCTCATGCTGCCCACACGGTCACAGAAGCCATAGGCCCAGAGACTGGGTACATCCTCCTCCTGGATCTCCATGGTGTTGCCCTTGAAGTTGGCACCTTCAAACAGGTAGATCTTGTGCACCTGGGAATCCTGGGAAAGGAGAAAGCTGGGTCAGGAGTGTGAAGTATGAATGGGAGAAAGAGAAGTCATTTAACGGGGCCTCCTGAGCATGGAGAGAGACCCGAGCCTGTTCAGGCCACCATGGGGCGCTCCCGGGACTGCTGTCAAGCCTAGAAGGGCCCTCCTCATCTGTGAGAAGGGGACGACAGCCTCTCCTTCATGGAGTTGTCTGGAGGCTTCTATGAGTGAATCCACACTGAGCACTTGGCATGATGCCTGGCCTATGCCAAGTGCTACCAAAACATTTATCCATTATTCTTATCGTTATAGTCAGGGATGCAGAGGCTCAGAGAGGTCAAAATTCTTGATCAATATCACACAGCCAGTGAGGGGCAGAACTTTTCAGAGAAGGATTTCACTCTCCCCATCATGTCTTGCACCTTCTCCCCTCCACTCTCCCAGCCACAGCCACACCGACTATTTTTTAGTTCCTTGGTTGCACCGAGCTCATCCCTGCTTCAGGAACGTCACTCTCTTGGCACTGGAGGAGCCCAAGAGGCTTCATAGCTGACTCAGTTCCCCTCCTCTGGGAGCTGGCTTCCCTGACCTCTTCTTGACCACTCCTAACCCCTAACATCCCAGCCCTGGCCTCCCTTGACACACTTCACGGCCCCTGAGCAGCACGTACCACGGCCATGTGTGATCATAGATTGATTTCTGTGATTAGATTCTCAGTAGCTGCCTCCCCTAAGGGCAGGGGTCTTGCCTGTCCCATGTGTAGTTGTTCCCTCAGAGCCTGCAACAGGGCCTGGCAGAAAGTGGTTGAATGCATGACAGTAAGTGGGAGCCAGTCAGGTTCAAGATCCCTCTAACTTCCCAGGATAGAGGGCCAGAAAGGAGTCAGGGAAGCCAGTGGGGAGGGAATGGGAGCCGCCCAGGGAAGAGACGTCCGGGGGCCCCCACCAGGATGGTTGCAGGGATACAGAAGAGGGATTAGATTGGTGGCTCGCAGCCCTGACTACACAGAGACTACTTAGGAGATGTGCAAAAGCTAGGGCACTGGGAGTTTTTTCCTAATAATATATTTTATTTAACAAACATGTTCAACACATTACGATTTCAATATGTGACCAATATAGCAACAATTAATGGATGTTTTACATTCTTATTTCTCTTTGTTATGATGTATTCAACACCTGGTGTGTATATTACACTTACAGCATCTTTCCAAGCAGGCTCATCAAGATTCCCATGTTCCACAGCCACATACGGCTACTACCTACCTCATCGGACAGCAAAGCTCTAGACGCTACAAAAAAAATGCTCTGGCTGATCACCCTTCCAAGTGCACTCTGAGATAGATGACCTTATAAGGAACATTGATTGAGAGAGAAATCTATGGATTCTTATAAAGGGTCCATTATAAAGGCTATGGTATAATCTCAAGTTCTGAGCAAAAATGTTGGGAATTATCTGGTTAGATAATCCAGTAAGATAAGTTTGGTGATGCCTGAAACATTCAATAGCCTCAAATGGACATTCATGAAAATTCTTGGTGAAAATTCCCACCACAGAAGGTCAAAGTTGGTTACCACTGGAGTGTGTCAGGACCCCTTATGAACTGATCAGCACAAGAGCCCCACTGCCTTGCACAGCCCAGAGGCCGCCATGCCTTCCTGCTACCATTCCCTCCATTTTTCCCTCACTCACTCCCATTCCCTTGCCTGCCCTGACCCCTCCACTGATCCCCCAGGCCTGGCTGAGGAGCCACTCACCATCTTGATAGGCCGGAAGGACATGAGCCGGTCACTGCGGTAGCTGCTTGACCATGTGTCCCAGCGCGGGTACTCACCCTTCTCCAAGACAAACATCTCCCCCCGGAAGTTGGACTGCTCAAAGGCGACCCAGCTGAACGTGAGAGGGATCAGGAGGGCCAGGAAGAGCAAAGGCAGAAAGAAGAGCAACCATTAGCAGAAGGATCCTAGACTATGCCACTTAGTGGCTGTGTGACCATGGAGAAGTGGCTTCACCTCTCTGAGCCTTGGTTTCCTCTTCTAATATGCCTATTTTCTTGGAGTCAGTGAAGGATTAAATGAGACAATGTGTAGTTATGTGAGCAAACTGTTTCCCCAGATATAGGATTCACACATAATTTAAGTATTACAAGAATCTAGGGTAAAATAGGATAAAAGAAGACATTTTCTTTGAAAGCTGATTATAGCTAGGAGGTCTCTGTTAGATGCTAATGTACCTTTAACACTTACCAATATCTCTTTCTGTAACAGAGGAAGAACAGACCACCAGCCCAGAACCTTGAGTAGGCAACAATATAACAGCATCTCTTTGTGTTAATTGTATTCATTTTTGTGGATAGCTTTTACTTATAGCAAGTGATAGTAGCTTTCCATTTGTAAAAGTGACGGAAAGGTTCTTTTCAACTATATTTGTTTGCATTAGAAACAGTCATTTAAAATGAAATGAACAATAGTCCTAGAGGTATAGATGTCAGAGAAAAATATGTACAGATGATTGACCCATGTATTTGGTAAAGACTGGCCTGGTATATGGAAGACCCACAGTAACTGGCATGGGGACAGTGGGAGGGAAATGCTGGTAGTATCTCCCTCTCAGATGCCCAAGATGATGAAATGTCAGTGCACATGCAACTATTCATCCCTCTGCAAGGACTGACTATATGTTTGAAGTCAAATGAGAGCTTTTCCTGGCGTCTCCAGCACAGCCTGGTTAAGGATGGGAAGTGGGCTTGTGTTAGTGGGACCAGGGATTCTGGGGGAGGTAGGATGATCCCCATTTCACAGATGAGGGGGCTGGGACTAAGGGACTCCTCGAATTTTACTCTATGTATATTCAGGAGTTATGTGAATTCAAGAGGGGAAGGGGACTATGTGTATCCAAGAGAGGACATTGACAGTAACATTTCTCTGGGGGCTGCTGGGACCTTCCTCTACCCAGAAGGACATGGCGGGTAGAGGTGGGCATGGGCCACCATTATGGACTGAAACAGAATGAGTCCCAGAAGCCCAGGTCCTTGCCTGAGCAATGAGGCAACCCTCACTGGAGTGACAGAAGTGACAGGGAGTTATCCTCTCAGGATAGAGCTGCATCTGCCTGATTTGAACTAGG